ATGTGTTGTTTTATTATTGTTTGTAATGAACCTGTTCAGTACTTCACAATGTGTTGTTTTATTATTGTTTGTAATGAACCTGTTCAGTACTTCACAGTGTGTTGTATTATTATTGTTTGTAATGAACCTGTTCATTACTTCATGACGTGTGGTTTTAATATTTTTTTTACTTCACTATAAGATATATCACGAGCAATCTCTGTGTCGTTTTCTTGTCAGTTTTTATTACAGTATGTTTTATTTCTACATCAGTTTCTGTGTTGTTTCTACAGATTTAACTCTGCCAGTCAACATATACTTTTAGTTGGATCTACCTCTCCATTCTATCACTATAAACCCGCAAATATACGCCCTCTGGTGCTAGAAAATGTGGAGAGACATCGTGCTCAATACTATGTTTAGGTTTGCCGACGTTGAAGTTCCCAACTTTTCGATCTAGTCCACAGTCCTGACTATCTTATTTGTAATATATATTTATGGAGGAAGTCAACTACTTAATACGAACTTCCAGTTTGTATGATGATGATAATCTTGTTAAATCTCTGCTCGTTTCTTTATTACATACTTTATAAGAAAACACCATTCAGAATTATGTTACTACATTAGGGATATTTTAATATTTATTTGGTCTTTTCCACAATCTCTATGGTTGTTAATATATAGAGTTCGTTTGAGCACATAGCTCACCTGGTATCTGTAAAACATCTGGTATAGTCGCGTGTTTGTGTTTTCATCACTTTCCAACCAAGCCTCACCCCTGCTTGTATTATTAACAACCAAATCTGTACTTTTTTATTTACTCTTAACAATATTGCTTTATATGAAATAATTTTCTTTTCTTTAGTTTCCTTATCCTTGTTTAAAATCTCATTTTGGAAATACTTATACAAACAGTAGTTTAGGAACACGTGATTTTCAAGGTTTTGTTACCTTACTTGGATTGTAGCAGCACGATTTAATAAGGGTTTTACATTGCTTAGATTGTAACAGCACATGACTTGTGGTTTTGTTACATTATTTAGATTGTAGCAGCACATGATTTATCGAGGTTTTGCTGCTTTATTTAGATTGTAGCAGCACGATTTATCGAGGTTTTGTTACGTTATTTAGATTGTAACAGCACATGACTTGTGGTTTTGTTAACGTTATTTAGATTGTAGCAGCACATGATTTATCGAGGTTTTGCTGCTTTATTAAGATTGTAGCAGCACGATTTATCGAGGTTTTGTTACGTTATTTAGATTGTAGCAGCACATGATTTATCGAGGTTTTGTTAAGTTATTTAGATTGTAGCAGCATAAGACTTGTCGTGGTTTTGTTACGTTATTTAGAATGTAGCAGCACATGATTTATCGAGGTTTTGTTACGTTATTTAGATTGTAGCAGCATATGACTTGTCGTGGTTTTGTTACGTTATTTAGAATGTAGCAGCACATGATTTATCGAGGTTTTGTTACGTTACTTCGATTGTAGCAACACATGACTTGTCATGGTTTTGTTACATTATTTAGAATGTAGCAGCACATGACTTGTCGTGGTTTTGTTACATTATTTAGAATGTAGCAGCACATGACTTGTCGTGG